CTATCATTTAACTTTTTCGATATAGGATAGGGACTTACTATAATCGTACTCTCTAAACCAAATGATATACATCATAACACATAACACGTATCAAAGAAACCCAGTTAATTCCAAATTGTAGAATTCCATAACACGCATCAAAGAAACCCAGTTAATTCCAAATTGTAGAAATGTGTTTTTTTACTATTATTCTAAAATTTGTAAGATTTGACGAAATAGCAGCTACTATATTCAATCAATACAAAATATAAAGTTTATCGTTGTTAAAATGTTTCTAACATTGCTTGTTCTTGGGATATTTGTGCTAGAATTTTTACCCGCGGACTTTTAAGCTCCGCTCTAACCTATTTCATATTTTTATTACTTAGTAATAATTGAGAATTTTAAAATTTAGTAGAATTACTCTATTAATTATACTTTATTTAATAGTGTTGTTATTGGACTAGCTAATTTAAACTTGATTTTGATCCAGTTTGTAACCTTTAACAAATTCTTATAATTAAACCGCCTCTCACAGGCCTCTAATATTCTGAGGGGGTTAGTTTGGGCACAAAATCTGTCATCATTTTATTAGATGCAAAATCGCAACTCTTTTGTTAGACTTATGTTTTTACATATGTACTTATGAATGCTCAAGCGCTTTCTACCCGATGAAAACAAAATAAATGTTTGCCCTGTGTACTTTTACATATGATATATATGGTTATGAAATGTACATTTTATCGCATGTTTATGGCTATTATAAAATTGATATATTTACTATTTCATGAGTACTAACATAAATAAGTCGCACCCTCTATATTCTTATGTCCCAAGTCGTATTCGCTTAAAATGTTAAAAATATAAGTTTGTAATCACAAAAAAATACAATTTCATAATTATTGAGTATTTTTCTTTTTGATATAAATTACCCGATACTAAATTCATAAATAAATACTTTCGTCACAAAACGATACTATTTTATAATTATTGAGTATTTTTCTTTTTGATATAAATTACCCGATACTAAAATCATAAATGAATACTTTCGTCACGTATGATATTGCGGGTTTGGAAAGATATTTAAGCAGATTTAGTATGTATTTCATATAGAAGTGGAAAATCAAGATCAAAAATCAATTTATCATTAGTAATGTATGAAGTATAAAAATCGATCAAAATCGACAACCTAAGATGTGTTTTTTGTTTTCTATTACCCATTCGGGCCTGTCGATCTCTTTGCCGGGTGGAATATCAGCCGTGCGCCCCGACCCTTACGCCGAGCTGCGGGCGTTGCGGATAACGATGTCTGCAATTGATGGCTAAACGGAACGAGTCTGATACACCACCCTTTTTTGACTCATACTACCACCAAATTCTACATTGGCTCCCCGTACTTAAACTCTGCCCACACGAGCATACAAAGCCAAATTCATGATCATCTCGAAACTGGTAAACGTGAGCAATGAAAGAAGAAAAGTAAATATTTTATTTATGCGTACTTTAAAAAATTGAAATTATCAATGGTGATCATTGTTGTAGATGGGAAACTACTGATGTCATGATCTTGACTATTAAAAGATATTGGAAGAATTTGATAATATTGATATCCTCATTGCAAGAACTTAGAATGGCAAATACTAGTTTTCGATTCGACTCCAACCACAACCAGTTTGATATCGAGCTGTAAGACATCAGATTTGCACTTGGGATTATAGAGTCGAATTTGATCTCTAATGAGAATAGCGTTTCAGAGGTATTGCTGCATTACAATAATAAGTCAAAAAATGTTAGACAATTACGAAAGGGCAACTAGTAGACTGCTTTCCAAACTAGCCATATGCTAAAGACAACAAAACAAATAATAAGGACAAAATGTCTTCATAATAGATCGAATTCGAAAAAATATGATTAAAATAAATAAATTAAATTAAATTAAATTAATCTATAATTGTAATGAAGAATGTACTCGTAGTTATTGACAGTGATATAAATAAAAGTGATATAAATATTCATTCACTATTCACTATATCACTGTTATATTTTATATAAATATAACAGTGATATAAATATTCATTCGATATAGATTGAATATTTATAGAAAATGAGATAAATTTATTTAAATATTGAGTAAATATTGAGAGACTTCAATTTTAAATATTTAAATATATAAATATTTTTAAATGTATATCATTAAAATTTATAACCAATAATAAATAAATATGTTAATCATATTTTTCTATACGATATAAATTAATATAGTTCGACGCTTATTTAAATTCGTTATATGTCATAAAAAAAGAAATTATTACTGAATTGTGATTTATCAAATACAATGAGAAAAGCTAACAATAACATTTAAATTTTGAGAGAAAAGATTTATTTCTATAAATATGCAATTGAACTGTTAATAAATTGAAAAAAATAGTCAATAAAATATTTATTATAACAATGGGTCCTACAGTTCGTATCAACTTTTTGCAACATACTGTAACAAGTTGTTAGTTTAATCTACTAACATCTGTTAAAAATTTAATTATTTTTTGAAGATAAAAACTAGTGGTAAATCATTGTATAAAATACTCTTTGTTTTATTAACTTCCCTAGCGTAAGTTATAATAATCGTCCAAAAATCAAAAATAACATTATTTTGCATATCTCAATGTTGCAGAAGTTTCTGAACATTTTGGCATTCCTTGGAAAAAATGAATGTGTATATGTATGTATGGATACAATTTTTTGTCCACGATTTCGGGCGCATGAATCGACCAATTTGAAATATTCAAAAATCATTCGATTACTTTTGATAAGAATACGGTGTCGATTAGTTTTTTAGCAAAGACAGGTTCAGCCGATTCGGAGATACGGAGTAAAAAATGCAAAAAATGAAAATTCGATATTTGCGAGAACGGAGCATTCAAAAAACTCAAAAAATATTCAGTTCGTATTGAAGGGGAGACGTGCTGATTTGTTTTTTGCAAAACAGTTTTTTAGAGAATAAAGCATCCGATAAGAATGATTAAAAAAACATTCGATTTGTATTGACGAGGAGATGTGTTTTTTAGTTTTTTAGCAAAGGCAGTTCCAGCCGTTTCGCAGATACGAAGCAATAAGTGCAAAAATAGCAGTTATTAAAAGAATCATTTGATTAAAATAATTAAAAACAAACATTTTGCTGAGTGAGAAAAAAGATTAGTTTTTAGGAAAGACAAATTTTGTTTCTATTTCAAATTTTTAAAATTTTTTAATTTCTAAAAATAATATTTATTTATGAATTTCTCACTAGTTGTTGAATCAATATTTAAAATTAGCAAACATCGACATTAAAAAATTTTTATCTATAGTAGTAATAAAAAAAGTGTCTACTTCTTTGAATTTTTTTATACATGTATATAAAAGCTTTATCCCCAGATGATTTGCGCAAGTTTGAGCATAGTGTTTAAAAGGACAATAAAAGCGTATATATTATGCCAAGAATAAATTTGATAGACAATTTGCTTGAAACGCGTATTTTGAATAAAGTAAGTATCATATACTGAAATCGGTTCTTTATACCTTCAGTAATATTTGATAAAAGCAACAATCTTCCGAGCAGACAAGCCGAGTCAATAATAATTAGAGGAGGCGCTCGCTAACCTGACGAGAGGAGAACTTGATAGCCGCGGGAGTTTGTTTGTACTTAAAGTCGCGCCGTTAATTGAATATCAAACGCGGCGATAATTGATTTTGAAGGAACCAGGTCTGGTGCTGCTTCAGACTTTGAGATGTCTCAGATTATACGGGGCTGAGGTAAGAAATATAGCGATCATTCGATATTTATGATTGTATTACGAGAAATACAATCTTAAAACTTTTTCAAGAAATCAATATTTTTGACAAATTTAACGCTATTTGATGGTTATATCGATAAAACATCCTAAATTTTATTTATGCAATGACCTAAATGTTAATAAGTGCAAGATTATTTTATCAAAACATATTGAAGAAACCTAACCATATTTATGTCGGAAGAAGTCAATTTAATTTATATATGCTGTGTTTATTAAAAGGAGTAGAAAAATACTTTTTTTTTATTAAGTGTAATTTATAATATGATAACGATGCCAACCTTTTTATGATTTGCTCCCACGTCCCATCCAAATAGCGTTCTAAAAAGTTCATTACGATATTTGGCTTTGGTATAGTATATATTAATGTGACGAATTTATATGACAGTTATTAGAATTTAGAGACTTTTTTAATGAATACACCGTGAAAATAAATTTGATCAACCGGCTAAAGAATTATTATTGTTGGCGAACGACTTCTTTTGACTGAAGAGTACGTTTTGCTTGAAATTGTTATTAATATAAATTTATGTGATAATTTTTGAAAATTGGAACTGCTTTATGTTTGTTAATAAAAAGTTATAATACGTAAACTAAAGTAGTTAAATTTATAATTGCAACTAAAACCAATTAACGATCACATAACAAAGTAATGGCATCATTTCTTTTATTCCTCAAAATCAATACATACGATATACATTTTGAGTGAACTTAATGTGTATCTTTAGCTCTAAAAACTTTATTTTATTATTCTAAGACAATCCCATGATAAGAATTATTTCCATTTGGAGTAATAAATATTTGGAGAATTTGATTAAATTTGATTTGATTTGATTTTGTTGACAAAGTAATAGAAAAAGCAATGAAAGCAACAATATGTGAATTGATCAAGACAATCTTAAAATGCAAGAAAAATATGTAACGTATAAAAGCTTAAATACATAGAACGTATTGGCGAATGACGTATTTAATTTACGAGAACATATGTTAGTTTTCACAATAGTATTAGATACATTATGGCGAAGATAGTTTCAAATTGAAACTGCATCATTGCAAATAGCAGGTATATGCAAATTTACTTTCCATTGCCAAGCATAGATCGTTAATTTATTTATGCGTAAAAATGTATCCTCTATTTTTTCACGATTTGTAATAAAAATGTATTATTGATTAAATATTCAAAAATCAACTAACCTGAGAATCTTTGAGGCCTAGTTTTTCAGCAAGCTTTTTCCTATCTGGCTTACTAATATATTTTTGTACTTGAAATCTTCTTTCTAATCCCTTTCTCTGCAAATCTGCAATAGTAATACAAAAACACATTTAAAAAACTGCATATTAAAAGTCAGCAAAATATGAAATTGAAGCCTTATAGTTGCTGATACTGGAATGATGGTGTCATTTATAATTTCTGTAAATACTATTTATTTATTAATTACCTGAAAACACAGCTCGCCTCATCATTCCCCGTCGGGGTTTGCCTCTGGTCGAGTGAGCCCACGGAAATACTTGTTGACCTCCAGGCAATGGGAAGACTTGTGGAGGTTGAGGTCCACCTGGATGACCTAAAGAAAGAAACCAAAATGATATCAAAGACCTAAACTTACCAAAAAAATATAATGAGGAAAATTTTTTTTCATAAAAAAAATAAAAAAGTAGAAAACAAAATTTCAATTGGGGTCACCCTTTTGTTTTTAGAACTTATGTAGTGACGTATTACATTCCAATACTGGCAGATGTAGGCAAATGAAACCAATTTATGGAAATGACAATTAAAGATTTTTTTTAAATGAAAGAAAAAAATTAATAAATATAATATATAAATACAACATATTATTGCTATAATAATTATTATTAATGTATGAAGATTCAACAATTTTTTAAAGTTCAGAAAAACACGATTGCCAGCGTACAAATTTCCAACAAATCTTAATAGTTTTTAAATCTTTGATGAGAAAATAGTTCGTTCTTATTTGGGTGGTCCAATTTCTTACAATTTTAAATATTAATGCTGTGGGCAGAAGAATCAAAATACCACATCTATTTATCCTGAAGAGTGCAAATCTTCGTGTGAAATCGTACACAAAGAATAGAACTTAAGATCACAATGGGCATGTTGCGCATTTCGATTATAAAAAACTTTAATCCCTTAGGTCGATATCCTTGGAATGATCTTAAATAGTATTCTTTTGCTGACATTCACAGTAGATTTACTTCACAAGATGTTTCAATTGAAAAATTAGACACAGAATATTACTTATAAAGAACTTCTATGTAACTGTAAGGGATTAAAGTTGAGGCACATCATTGATTGTTTCATATAAATTAATATAATGGGATAAAACAACACTTATAAAATTTTTGATATTTAAATAAAATTCAATTTATTTTTTTACTTAATTTCAATACATAGCAAATGTATTGAAAATAAAATTAGTAGATTAAAATCCGGCTGGAAATAATTAAAATGAGTAAGTATTAGTAATTGTATCGTTGTTTTTCATGGTTAAATAAAATAGAATCAACATTAGCACACGACTTGTTAATTTTTACACTTTTGGATTTAGACAAAGTGAGTTTAATTTTGGACTACTAATATTTAAAATTGAACTAAAATATTTGTGACAATAGTTAAAACAAATTTTTTCTAAAAATATAATGTGAAGATGTTTTCGACAGCTACCTGCTCGATTACACCAACAAATTTCAAAAATAAATCAAAAACTCCATACCCATATCTTATACATAGTATAATGTTTATATGAGCAGAAAAATACGAATTTTCATCAAAAAATCGTTATTATAATTGTCATTACAGTTCGCATCATGATACAATGAAAATTGTTATTTCACTACTATGATACTGAAGGTGCAATGTAAACCAAAATAATATAAATGACTAAATACTTTCGGAATATGTTCCATACAGCTTTATAATTGAAAGAAATATCATCTTTTTTTACCATATGATATATACTTTGCAATTCTAACTGTGGTTTTTTACTTTTATAGCAATTCTATTTTTTATGAATACACCCGCCACACGCAAGTGCGTAAAAAATATTAGAGTGATTTTCTTCACGACGTGTGAATCCCAAAAGACGAACATTTTTATTTCTTTCAAAAAGGATTAAAGTATCTTCGTGGGCGTTCAATTGTATATAATACAAGTATATAATGTTATTGTTAAAGATATCTTGAAACCAGCTTGAGAATTTCTGATTTGGGAGGTTAATCTGTTCTGATTTTGGCAGTTAATAGAATATTGTTGAATGGTCTTTCATTTCAAATGTGACCACATTTAGCTGTCAGCGAATGGTAACAATAACGATGGATATTTGAAAACTATATTTTGATCTATATAATAAAGCCTAGGTGTCAAACTTATAAAATCATTAAAACTTGAATCTTTATATAAACTTGAACAAAAAATTGCAGTAAATGTAAACTTAAATCAATCAATTTGTTTTGAATATCCGAGAACATTTTTGCAACCTTGTTTAATGACGTATTTTATTCTAAATTATACCAAATTACCTATTAAATTTTGCATTTATTATTAGTGCTCAGTAATTAATGTAAAACGATAATGAAACTAATCAAGTAATAACTCAATATATTATAGATTTACAAACTGTCAATAATTTCGTAATATTAAACTGACTAATAATATATACATATAAAAATACCAAAAAACATTCGCAAAATTTTGAAAATAATAAAAAATTTGCTTGACTTAGCCATAATTTAATAGCAGTAATAAAAAATAATATTCATGACAATCAAACTCTATAACTAATTAATGTTCATCAAAATTTAAATATTAACGAAACTAGTGGTGCATGGCGTCGAGCCTTAAGACAAATTGCTAGAAATTCCCCTACCGAAAAATAAAATTTAAAAATGCTTAATTTTTTTTTTAATTAGGTTATTGAGAATTTTAAAATTTATGAGAAAACTTCATATTGTTTTGTATTCATTTGAAAATTTGGAATTTTTTTCAAAGCAATCACGTTGTTAGCCATTCTACTCGAAACGGCTGACCTGTCTTAGCAAAAAACTAGTCAGCATGTCTCCTTATCAATAGAAATCGTTTTATGAAAGATTCAAATTGATTGATCCGTGTTCACAAAATCATCGACAAAAACTGCATCCGCATATACATACACACATACATCTATATTTTCTCAATATATACCAAAATATTGAAAAACCTTTGAAACCAAAACATATATAAAACTTTTCATTTTCGATTTTTTTGCGATTAGATAAATTTTTCTTCACAATTCAGATTATGTAATTTTTAAATTTAGAAGGCAAATAATTTTAATAAATAAAAATAACTACTACAAAACGTTAAAATCATGACAACTAATAATTGTGATAACGTTCTTATTTAGAGAAAGCAAAAATAAAATCTTATCAATTATTTTATTTTAATAATATAAATATAATGTAAGTATAGAAGTGCAGTATTGATAATATTTTTTGAGCATCTACAAGTACTTCTCACACGCATGTTTTGTATTTATCAAATGCGGCGCTTTCACAATCAACTTCTATTTATTTCTATATAAATCAAATCCGTTCTTCAAATACAACCTATAGATGAATCAATTCAACTACTTCTCTTACCCAAGTAAGGATGTGCCCTGCACTGGGCGAGGAGCGTGTGGAGATGGTGCGCCGCCGGCCCATGCTGGTGAGGAGGCGGTGGAGGGTGATAGCCAGGCGGTCTGGAAGCCACTGGTTTAGCAATTCCATTCATCACATTTACATAGCCGCCGAGTCCGAAAAGGCCAGGAGAAGATAAATAAACGGGCTCTGGAAAAGAAATAAAATATATTAAAAATGGAGGCATTGAAATTGTATGTATTAAATCTCTCCTTCGATTAACTCAGGTTGTTAGGTTATAATTTAATCCTTGTACAACTGTATTGAACACTGATTTATTGGTATAATTTATGTAAGTTCTTGTTACGATCACTAATTTGTCACTAAGTTATAATCAAAAAAGATCTGTTTTTGATTATTTATCACATATGTTTTTAAGCGGACTTTAGTTTTAGAAGTGATAAAAATTAGTCTCCTCAAAATCTTCGCTTACCCCTCTACAAAGCTAGCAACTTTCAAGTACCTACTAACTCTCAATGCCATGAAGATTGCTGCTTCATGGCCTATATAATAAAATAAAAATACGTCCAAACAAAGGAAGCATTTTATGTAATCAAATCAATAATCATAAACTCAGCAAGTAGGTTTTGTTCGAATGTACTCAAAATAATATGAATCTGGTAGTGCATGTTATCATGCCTTAAGGCAAATTGCTGAAACTTCATGTACAGTAAAATTTGGATATTTTAAACACATAATGTGTGCATTATGAATCTTGATACGGAAGCCAAAGAAATGTGTACAAAATTTGTATTCATTATTAAAATCTCTATAAAATATCTGATACTTTATTGTTCATATGTCTAATAATCATTTTTGACTGCCAAATGCCATTTTTTAACTGTTTTTATTGGATCTCCTATACCGCCGGACCTGCCTTCCCAAAATTTTAATAAGCGTTTGAACCGTGCTTTCGGAAACATTGGAAAAAATAGTATCCGCATATACATATATACACCCACATATATACATAATTTTCTAATTGTTATGTATCTAAAATGTTCAGAAACCTTTGGAAAGTAAATTCTATTCATTGATTGTTGTATATACACATAGTTTATGATTATGAAGTTCTAACTATCTTCTTGTATATTTTTAATATAAATTATTTTTGTTTATCCTATGTTATAAACAAACAATATGTTAAAACATAGACTACACCTCTAACGTTAATAAAACAATGTCAAAAAAGATCCTAATTGAAATCTGTGGCTATTCTGGCTATATTAACATTTCGGTTAAATTTTAAATAATCTTTTCACGCTTTTCACATTATTGTATCTACTAAGTCTGCTGCTTGTAGTTTAATTCCCCCAGAAAAAGAACATGTATATACAGTATATATATATAGACATAAGTACCATATTTTATTGTATACTTAAGGCTAATAATACAATAATAAAAAACAGTCCGAAAAAAAAATTTACAAAGTAATAAGATTTAGAAGAATAATCCTAACTATCAATCTATATGTTCAAGCTTATGAATGTCTATTAAATTAAGCGTGGGATTATAAAATAAATAAGACGTTAAGTCAAAGAAAAAAGTAATTTATTAGGTAATCCAAAATAAAGAAAGTTTAGAGTTTATAAGAGCATTTGTATTTTAACCCTTTCCACTCGGAAATAATCGCGACAGTTTGACTTTAAATTTTCCAGAACTTTTTCAATAACTAGAATATGTTAAAATTAAGAAAATATTTTAAAAATGAAATAGTTTCCTCGCTCTAATGCGCCCAATTCAGATAAATTGTCTAAAAAAATCGTATTATCTTAATCACTTCAAATGAACGTTTCAATTACCAAAATTAGGCCGTTACGACTAGCATTATAGTAGCATACGAGTCCATTGTTTGTCAGTTGAATGGATAATTCATTTAGGATAATATTGACGTTGCTCGGCTTCGCTTATGTTGACGTAATATTCGATACGGATACGCGCAAACACACCCGCTGCCATAAAGCCCCGACCATATGAAATCAGCGAAATTCGTAAACAATACACTCGGCCCACAGCAGATACGATATCGCATGTGATTTTATGCAACAAGGATACTACATACTACATATGAAACAAATGCAAGCCGATGGGTCGGTTCAATGCCTATCTACAATGCTACGAATGTTATTTTACCTCTACGTAAAAAGATCACAGAGTAAAATAGTTTTCGTTGTATTGCTTCTGTTACAATTATTGATTTCACCTAAAAACCCGAAAGCTAAAAGTTATAGCTCTTCTAACATTATTATGACAATATAGAGCTCATCTGTGGATTAGTGGTTAGAGCTATGGGATTTTAATCAGAAGCCCAAGATTCGATACTCGCATCGAGCAGCCTGATGTCAAGCAGTAGTGACACTGATTCTTACTCGGAAATATAGATAGCATTACGTCTACAAGTAATACAGATAATAATAAAATTTATCACAGTGATAAGACAACTGTTTGGGCTGCCATCTATAAAACCGACGTTGTTAGTTAAGTCAATTCATCAAAATAGCTTATAGAACCCTCAAAGTTTATTTTATTTTTTGTATATTACTTTTCTTAAAATTTTTAGACCTATATAGAAAAATAAAAAATCATTCGAAACTTATAATTTAAGAATTGCATTGGCATTTACTGCATATAGGGCACAAAAGTCCAATTGAGCAGTTACACTGTGAAAACCAAACCAGTTATCTGACTATGTTCAGTAAAACTTCAGCGATTCTTCATTGTAGAAATGTGTTTCATTCAAAAATTTTGTCACCTAGTCTTTTTAACCCATAGGTGGGGTAAAATAAAACAATTAGAAGACAAACAAACTCCATTTCTTATTTTAAATTTTTTACGAAAAGGCATCTCACGAAATAATAGCTATATTATGCAAAATATAAATTTTATTGGTACATTTTTTGCAAAGATAACACTGTATATAAACTTGATCTGGTATTTTGTCGAAATATTTATCAGCAGAGTTGGAGCAATTATTTGTTTAATTCATCTCTTGTAAAATTGCTTTATATGCTTAATTTACTTTTATAATTACTGTTTTTATTGTATACACCTTTGCCAGGGTAAAGGTTTAGATGGTTCATTTTATCTCAACCACGTGTAAGCTTTTAAAGAGAGTAAATAAAAAACTGTTGAATTTAACTTAAAAAAAATAACTATATCAAGATTTTGTGAACTAAACAACCGTGCTCACAGTCAAAAAAACTAATAACGAAAGAAAATACGTTTGCTATAGATTTTCAAACATTGCCGTTTATCTCCTGATAGTGTATTCGTAAAAAATAGTTGGTTGTGCTTCTTCCCTCTACTTTCAAATATTGATGTTGAGAAAATTCTTATGTTTAATTGTTTTCAAGCCTAATAATTTTACCTAACATTTAACAATAATAAATTCATAATGTGTATAAAATTTTTAGTAATTTTTATCAAAACCCATTATATTTAGACGAGAAAATTTATTAATTCGTAATCAATTAATCAATTAATTCTGAATACAACGCAATGTATGATATAATAACTTAAGACATCAACTGTAATTACTTTCTCGTTATCCTGCGGGATAATCTTCGCCTCCTCAAAACTGTTCGCATACCTACACCAACCTAATTTTTTTATTCAATATGTTTTTCCAAGCAACTCCGCGCAGCTCATCAATTCCCTGACAGCCCACCCGGCTTTTACTACCCCTATTGGCTGAAAGTTTATCTAAGAGATCATCTCTATTAAATGCAACATAGTAACAAAAACACAGCTAACCACAGTATTATATAAGCTCGATTGGCCAATGGCAAACTCGGATAGTTCACGGTATATGACCCCAAATGAATAAGAGACCCTTTCGGATTAGATATTATATGAACGATAAAGAATGGTTTTTGAATTGTTGTTTTAATAGATTTCGTGTTAGATATTTTTTTAATGTTGATACTGAAACATTCTTTCCGAAAGCTTGATCCAGGACAATGGGTTGTGTTTGTGTTTCGGGTTTGTATTGAGTGATTTGTTTGATTGCTCATATGAAAGGTAAGCTTGTCCAAATATACATGTATATATATATATATATATATATACATTATACACAGATTTTTTTTAATTTAAATCTTCAGCAAAATAAAATAACTAAATCGTTTATTCTTGCTAGAAAAAAAAAACTTAATTGATTTTGCATTTTCTTGATTATGTAATTTGACTACAACAAACAAATGAAATTAAACTCAAAAATATCTAGGATTCGTTAGTTCTATATTACGACCTTGCCCCAGAGATTTAAGTTAAAAAGCAGTTTACACAAATTAAGTTGTGATAAAACTCTCATTAAAAGAACATAAATACCATGTATGTTATTACTAAAAGAGGAAGCAAAAACATTACATTGATTATAATTGATTATTATTGCATGTTTAGTTAAGTAAAAGTATTAATAATTAATTAATTAATTAATAGCTTACTACTTTATTGATAGCGGATACATTTACACAGAAAATCTAGTTAGTTCTAATCTAATGATACTTAAAACTCCATATATTCACGTTGGAATGCTAATTGCAATTTTATCCACCGGAATTGTGCAATGTCTCCCTTTGTTTATTTTGTGGCAATAAGAAATTAAATTTAATCTAGCGTAAGCTCTATACATTTAGAACGATGTTTATACGGCTGCTTAAAGCCCTGGGAGCTTTAGATCAGCCACCATGGCCGCAGCTGGTTAACGACAATTTAAACTTGAAAAAATTCAGCCATTTTGACATGAATAATAAATAAACAAGTCCATCAAAAATCATACGGGATTGTTGTCAGTCCTGCCATTTTGTTCTACTGGTTTATTTAGTTTTTAATGTGAGAGTTTTAAAAAGTATTGCTTTGAATATGATTAAATTATATTCTTTTCATTAGTTGGATAAGAGTGAATTTAATGAATACATAATCATAATATTCAAAAAAATTTTTTTTTTACATTATAATCATTACATTAGTTGGATAAAAGTGAATTTAATGAGTACATAACCATAACATTCAAAAAAATATTACTATATTATAATCTTATTTATAGTTCATCCAATATAAATTATATTCGAAGTCATTTTGAATACTAATAAA